AGGGGCGCTGCTGGGCCTCCAACAACTCCATACAGTTCGAATACGATGAAAATGGCGATACAAACCTCCTTTTCTGTACATGTCAGGCCAAGTGAGGAAGGACACCTGTCGCAGAATGACAGCCACCAACATTCAATTCTCCCTCGGGCGGAAGAACGGCGGGGCTGCAGCGATTCGGGCGGTCATTGCGACCTTGTTGGTTGCTCTTTCCGCGCTGTCGGGAAAGTCCCCCCAAACCCCCTTGCGAGTCGCCACGTTTGCCCACGTCGGCAGGGGAAAGAGCGGCCCCGATCGCGACCGCCCGCGTCGGCGCTTACCAGGATCTTGGATGCCCACGATGGCTTCATGGCATAATTTTTTTTCTTTCCTCGTCCGCGACACGTCGTCTCAGACTCACATGCCCGCAAACGCGCACCAGTTGCCGCCGCCCGTCCAAGCAACTGACAAACGACCGGCGTCACGCTGCAAGGGGCCGGTCACACTGGCAGCCACCACCAGCCAACCGGACGGCCACCCAGCGAGCTGCCGGCCACACCAGCTGGCCGTGGCACCCGCTCTCGCCTCTCGCCTCCCAGTTGTCACCCCGCCGAACCCCTCGACAGCCAAAGTCGGTGGCGCACCGGCGAACACTCAGCATGAAACTTGGCCCTGTTTCACCAAAGGGTGGCTAGTGTCCGCCTTTGGCTGCCAAGGCTCCGCTCTGGAAACTGCCTGGAAGTTCAATCCCTCGACGACGAGTGGCGGGCTGGCATGGCTGGGTAGTCCCCGCATCCCGGGGTGCCGGGCGGGCCCTGGCATCCTCGCACCCCTGGGAGCCGCACTGGATCCCCAAGAGGGGCGACAATGCAGGGGAGCCCGTTCGCTGCGAGCTGGGAGGCTTTTGCAGCCCCTGCATTGGAATGCCTAGATGGGCGATCTTCCAGGATGCGAGGTAAGCCTGGGCGCGCACGTCAGTTGATGGGCAGCTAATTTTTGTTCATCCATTCTAGCATCGGCGAACCCCGCCTGGAGCGAGCAACCGCGGAAAGAAAGCCCTGCTGGAATTCACAGGCGACCTCGGCGCGCGCAAAGCCCCAGAGGCGTGCCGTTGGCTTCGGCCTGCGCGAAACGAGACAGCCGGCACCGCCACGGTTTTCTGTGGGACAATGCCTTGAATGGCATGCGCGAATCCCGGCATCCCGATCGATGCCGTCTGCTTTGTTCCAGATGTCTCGCCTTGAACAAGCAAGTTCCGCATGTCGTCAGACGAGAGGACGGGAGGATGGCCTTGGATGGCCCATAGCCTCACCGTGGGGGGAGGTTCACCTTGGCTGTCCCACACGCCCACGATCCGTGGGTCAGGGCCCCAGGGTGTGATGCATAAATGCAACCTTGGGCGCGTCCCCTGCCACGCCCAGGTCAAGCGCAAAGCCACTGTCCGCAGCCGTCTGCACCTTTTTTGCAGACTGCATAGCGCGCCCCTGATCCGCATCAGCTAGGTGCGCGGGCACCGAAAGCTTCGACCGTAGCGGTCAAAGATGCATGATCGTCCGGGCATCGCATCGTTTCGGTTCGGGATTCAGAAGCGCGTGGGAAACGGACAGCCTGCTGCGTACGCGGTTTCGCAAAACAACCGACCACTAGGCTGCGCGATCGCCGGCGTCTCCTGTCCACTCCCTTGGCGAGGTTGGAAGAGCCACGCACCAGCCATGGCGACTCAGGGTCGGCAATGGCTGGCATGTCTCGTGGAGCGTTGGTGACGTTGTGTGGATACGGGACGCTGACTGGTGGCACGCGCAGCGACGGGCGTGCGTGGCGGCCGGGAGAGGCTCAGGAGCAGGGGTGTTGGTGCGGTCTGATTGGCGGCCGCACATCTCGCCGTGTTCCTGGCCTGGCGCATCGCGGATGACAATGCACGACCAGCTGAGGGCTCTGCCTTCAAGTGCCATGGCGTTGGGCGAATGCAGACTGCGGTTTGCGGACTGCGGTTTGCGGACTGCGGTTTGCGGACTGCGGTTTGCCCCTTGGCTGCCGCCCGGATTTCGTGCCCCTGAAGCTGATGCTTCCCAGCCCAGTCCGCGCGGTCGATGGGCCGCCAGCAGCCGATTTCCGTCGGCGAGGCAGGTTGGAGATCGTTGCAGGGGCCTCTTCAACATCGTTTCTTCGTCCCGCTTCGTGCTGCCCCCGGACCGCCCTGCACCACCAGCCCCGTCCCGGCATCCGCCCCGACCCAAGCGAGAGCGCAGGCCCAGTCAGGGGGCGTGCAGCCTTTGAGGCTGCCGTGGCTGCCATTCGGACGGCTCGTGCCCACCTGTCCCACGGCCGACAAGTCAAGACCTTTTTGCGGCTCTGAAACGTGCGTGCCAGCCTATCACGGGATCCATCCGGGCGTCCTCCCTTCACCACCGTGGACCCCCCTAGCCGGTCCACCGGGCTTCGAAACGCCCATGGCTCTGCCCCGTGCGTGGCCTTCACTGCTCGGGACCCTCCCATCCCATCCGTCATGACCAGGACCGACAACCAGATAAATGTATTGGTGCCAGCCCCTGCTTGACGGGATGCAAATCCTACCCACCATCTCGTCGTGGCTCTAGTACCACTCCCAGCTCCCTGTCCAATAAACGCGAATGCATGACTGGCATCTGGAGCCTAGCTTGTCCGCCTCTGTTCAACTTCCTTCTTCCGCGCTAGCCTCGTCCAACGACCGACTGGGTTGGGCGAGACCGCGGTCAGGAGCACGCGAGAGATCTGTATAAGACGCTCGCCCTCCTTCTCACCTTCGTCTGGTCCCTGTTCTTCAGACAGCTTTCGTCTTCCGTCCTTCCTTTCACCAACACGGTGGTTTGTCGTCGAGACAACTTTCATTCCCTTTCTTGTTGACAAGGCTAGTCCTTGCTTTGCTTTCAACCTTCCTTTCAAGAGAACCCGCATTGCACGTCTTCGTGACAACACCAGCGGCATTCATCTGTAAGTCTTCTCTCACGATGAACACATATTGTGCCGTCTATGTTCGAGATGTCGTTCACAGCGGTCCTTTCCACTTCATACGTTCGACATGAACACGGTTGAATCAGTGTGGAGGCTCCTTGTTTGGGATCATGTGTCGTCGGGAAGCGAAGTAGAATATAAGAAGCTGACTTTACTCGATGTATCGCAGTGCTTCAGCAGCAGCTCCAAAGCTCCAAAGTTTCAATATCACCAACTTGTCTCGACGACACCGATCTCAATAGATCTCGGAATCTTTCGGCTGGTACGCTAAGATTCTCGACGCCCAAACACCTACAAAACTCAACAAAACTCAACACGACGTTCAAAATGTTTGCCAAAGCTCTCATTGTCGGCGGACTCGCCATGACTGCCACCGCGCACGTCAAAATCAGCAACCCCGTCCCTTTCCAGAAGTCACAACTTACCAACGCCCCGCTTGATGCGAGCGGGAAGGATTTCCCCTGCAAGGTCGGCGGTGACCACCCGTACACCTACGAACTCGAGGGCGCAAGCAACGTCTATGCGCAGGGCAGCACCCAGCAGCTCGCCTTCGTTGGCAGCGCTGTCCATGGAGGCGGCTCATGCCAAGTCTCCATCACCACCGATCTCAAGCCGACCAAGAGCTCGAAGTGGAAGGTGATCAAGTCGATCATCGGCGGCTGCCCGGCACAGAACCAAGGAGGAAACATGGGCGACAGTGCCAGCTTCGTGGTTCCTTTCAAGTACGACTACGAGATCCCGAAGGAGCTGGCCGCTGGCAACTATACCCTGGCATGGACCTGGTTCAATAAAGTCGGCAACCGCGAGATGTACATGAACTGCGCCCCGCTGACCGTTACCGGCTCCGCCGGCTCGGAAGCTTTCATGAACACTCTGCCTGATATGTTTACCGCGAACATTGGCACGGGCTGTGGAACCAAGGAGGGCGCGGATGTCGTCTTCCCTGACCCGGGCAAGAATGTTGCCTTCTCCAACGCTGCCACGCCGCAAGCTACCGCACCTCCTACCGGTTCTTGCCCCACGGGCCAGGGCCCTGCACCCGTCCCTGGGCCGACCGGGGCCCCTTCTCCGGTCCCAACGAGTGCTCCCCAGCCCTCGAACGTCAACAACCCTGTTCAGCAGCCGTCCCAGTCCGCGACTAAGCCCGGTGGCGTCTATATCACTGTTTCGCAGAACCAGCCTGTCGCCACGTCTGCAGCTCCCGTCGCTTCCCAGCCTGTCGCCACTCCGCCGGCCGCTCCCTCGTCCGTCGCCCCTGCCCCCGGCGCTGGTAACCCAGTTGGCAACAACCCATCGGGTGGCCATGCTCAGGGCGCTGCCTGCACGACGGAGGGCGCCTGGAACTGCATTGGAGGTACCTCTTTCCAGCGCTGCGCCAGCGGCACCTGGTCCGCCGTTCAGCCTATGGCAGCTGGCGTGCAGTGCACGGCTGGAGAGTCGAACAACCTCGAGACGAAGGCGAAGATGTCGAAGCGCCACATGCGCTGGGCTCGTCGGTTCGCAGCATAGACAAATTGTGTTTCACAATGTCTGGCTGACAACGGCCCGTCGGCCCGCGCGGCTTAGCCTTGTGGTGGGAAGGGTGGTGGAGTAAGTTTCATGGACACATGTTATCGACATGGCTCTTCTTTCATGTTGATGGTGGACATTTTTTCGTTCTGGCTGTACATTCTTTTGTTGGCGACACTCACTTCGGCTGGTATCTGCTGGGGGTTGGCGTAGCTGTACAATACACTTTCACTTAGCACTAGACATGAGCGCAAGGGACTTTTTTGTTTCCACAACTTGGAAAGATTTCACTTGCCAGTGACTCCTGATGCTCGCGTTTACTCTGAACACCATCAGTTCGTCACCGACCGTTCGTTCTGTCAGATGTATCGGGAACGCAGTGCCTTGGAATTTGTACTCCGTAAACACTTCGCCATTTGCACGTGAAAGTCGCTGCGAAACCAACAGTCTATAGCCATGTTGTCAAAGCACCTTTTGGGGGTTTGCGCCTCGTCAGCTTCCACCACACCCGAGAGCCTATCCCAGCGTTGCGCCTCAAAGCATTGGGATCTATGGGGACAACGTGAGGATCTAGCTCGATACCAACATGTACCGAGCCGTCAACGCCCCGGTACCGCCCAAAGCTGAAGGTCCTGTTCTGTCGCCAGGGACTGGTGGTGCTTGCAGCACTGACGGCGCGGCTGGGGGCGACGTAGGCGAGGATAGAGCCGATACTGGTTGGCATCCGGGGAAGGACGAATGCGGTAGCGCGGGCGTAGAAGAGGGCCGCGACGACCACGTTGAGCGAAAGCACGGCAAGGGTGATGATGAGCGCTGCCGTGTCGAGGAATATTTTTGTCTCTTGCGTCTGTCTCCAACCGGTTACCGTCGGCTCGTGAGTAGCCTCTTCGAATATATAATTCTGACCAAGGCCAAGGAGAAGACTGAACGTGAGGCGGTATATCTGGTGTATCGTTGGGATCAGCTTGGTAGGATCGGGGACCGTGGTGTTCGCGCTGATCAAGTCCCTGTTCCCTATCAAATCAGCCGCAAGGTAGGACACCCAGTCCGTGGCAATGGAATCGTTGCGCCACCGCCCATCGCAGCGGAGAAGGTCGTCGGCATTTGAGATGAGACGCGCGATGGGACCCAGACTGCCGTCAAAGTCCAAGTGCGACTGGATATTTGCCGTCCTGTTGAAAGACAACACATTGCCCGCCGTGTCAACCGTGATATTGAACATGGCTGTCTCAAACGTGGGTCGACACTCTGCAAAGCTGGCATGTATAGGCCCTGTCGTTCGGTTCTTCGCGCTCGAGCGCGCCCAGGCGAAAACGAACTGCCCGTCGCATTTGTCGTCCTGGCCTCGAGAGGGGATGCCGCATGTGTTCATGGACGCATTGCGATCAGGTCTGTCCGCAGTAGGCACATCATTGCGCATGCCTTGCATCGCCCAGACACGCGGGTCACTGCAGCTTGAGTTCTGGCTGTTTGGATCACCAAGCGGGACATCCAGCGCCGGCATGGTTGTGCAGTTGAAGTGGGCACCCAAGCCTCGAGCTTGTAGAGTGTACGTATCTGTAGAAGGGTTCCTGCCCCCGTCGACTGTGCCATGAGGCATGAAGAAATACTCAGCGGTAACCCACGGAGGTAATGGCGTTCCGTACTCTATGTGGGCGAGGGCGAAAGTCAAATGGTCGAGGTACTGGTCGGAGGAATGCGTGCTTAACAATGTGCGAGCCCATGTATCGATTGAGTCGTTGGAAAATTTCGGCTGGAGGAGTGGCCTAAACTCTTGCGAGTGTGAGACTGCCGCCACATTCTCATTGAAGAGAGCACCTAGCCCGATACCGAGGAAGTTCGCGGCGAGCGTGGTGAAACACACCAAGACGAGTGCTAGGTGGCGCGCTTTGACGGCTCTCCAGATAGTGAGTTGAGGGGGGATTGCCGAGTACGTCGTATCTATGCTCTTGGCCGGTCGAGCCTTGCCAGCGCAGAGGTCCTGGAAGGGCTGCATGACGCAGATGAGCCGGTTGAGCATTACCCAGAAAGGTTCGACCAAGGTTGCAAATGCTGTCGGGATGTAATTCTCGAGCAGCTGTAGTACCTCGAACGATTGGGATGGCCGAGTCAGCCCTATGTACCTGGTAAGAAAGAAGCAACGGATGCAGGAGTGTGAGAGTAAGCGGCGAACCATTTTGTGAAGTTTCCGCCGACTTCAACCAGGCAATGGTGGCGAGGGCGCCAAGCATGACGCCAACAAATATGACGCCCATTGTGCGAGTGAGAGCAAATGGCCGGATCGGATCGTAGTAGGCCTCCGGGGACTTTGCATTCCCTTCTGCATCATCGTCATAAGTGCTCGCCTTAAGCTCAAGGCGCAGTTTGTATCCCCCTACATCTTTGAATCGAGAGAGTCTGAACTTGGTTTGTCGGAATATGGTGCTCAGGGACTTCCCGTTCGCATTGTCGAGCTTCCCGAAAACCGCAAGGATGTCAGGACTGTTGCGGAAGATGTCAGTCAACCTCGATATGGAGTTTGGATTGGACCGCAGGTGGCAGGGCGCCCTCCGACAGAGCCACAGCAATGCGAGCGTCAGCACGGCGCACGCCACGAGCAGAGCCTCAACGGCGGTGCTGAACGCCCTGCTCACAATTATGCCGGAGAGAGGGTAAGTTGAGCTGGCGGCATGATCGCGGAAGTCGGTCGTGTTGGCGAGGATGCGGCTCACTGTGGCGGTGAACAGGTACTTCGCCGCGCGGTCGAAGGCCTTCTCTAGTACTTGGGGGTCACCATAGGCGTCCAGTGACTTGTTCTGCCCCGCGAGGACAAACCCAACCATGGCGCTGAAGGGTCTGATCAATCCATAGCCCGAAACCCTTGCGTTTTGCTCAATGACATTGCTGAACGGCTTGTCTTTCGCCATGCCCTCGGCGCCTTCTGACATCCCATTCGCGATGAGGAACTCGAATGCCGTGGAGTTGAATTCGTTCACGGTCAGAACTTCCCTCGTAGACACTGGCTGAAAAGAATCCGCAAAAGGCACTTTGGATTTTGCATCGACAGTCACTGTGAAATCTTGTTTATAGTAGTGAGTCTGACAAAACAAGGCCGTGACGTTGTAGTCAGCCCATGAGGTGATGTTTTGCGTGGGATCGCCCACGCCGATTGGGAAGCCCCTCGCCCAAACAGCCAGGGACCGATGGATAGAGTCGGGGGTCGCGGGGCAGCTCTCATATGCCAATGCGTAGTCAGAATACGCGCTGCCGTAATATCCAACGTACTCGAGCTTGTAAGTCGTATTCCCGTTGTAGGCGTATGGCAAGTCGATCTTCATCTCGCAGCCTTGGCCGTCCGAGTAGTAGTAGGTAGGATTGAGCGTCGACCCGCGGCGAGAGATGTTAGCTGACCGGCACACCAGGTCGACAGATAACTTGGTCGTCGTTGCCGTCCAATTCGCCTGGGACTTTTCCGGTGCCGGGTCGCCGTCAACGTAATAGGGCAGGAGCACGTACTCCGGTGTCATGAATTGGGGGCAAGTCTGGTTCAGCCATCCAATGGAGTATCCTCTCGTCAGAAGCTCGGGAGCTATCTTGGCCTTTTGCTCCGACACAGGGATGAGCTGCGACCTTGTGATGATAGTCATTGCGCTTGTCCGTTGCACAACTCCGGTACCCAGAATGGCGCTTTGCAGCGGTGTGATGACCCAGAAGACAAGCATCATGATCGTTCCAGAAATGACCACGGGCCAATGCCTGACAAAACCTGCATGTGAGCTCCCGGCCAGCCGTCCTTCTGAGTCTCAAGCCAAGACCAACCTCTTTCTTGCTGCCTTGAGCGGCACGAATGCCACGAACTCGACCGGATAGTCCAACAGCAGCGAGTCCTCCCCCTTCGCCCCATCCGCCTTACTGAGCTCAAACCACGGCTGCATGCGCTTGACATCCAGGTCGACCCAGTTCCACACGAGGCTGTACACCGCGGCGGCCACGTTGGGCACGTACTGGTACGCAAACATGGCCGCCGCGGGGATGTCGTCCTGCGTCGGGGCGAGGGCCAGCCCGCCGCGCGCGGCGCTCCGCTGCGCGAGCGTCTCGATGCCCGCGGCGACGAGCAGCGAGAGGAGCGCGAGGGAGAGCAGGATGGGCGTCGTCATGGAGAAGGGCTTCCAGCCTTGGTCGATGCCTAGAGGGTGGGAGAGACCCGGGCTGTGTGAGTTGTACTGCGTGGTGGTAAAGTAGGGGGAGGATGGGAAGGGATGCTTGGAAGAAGCACGGGGTGTTGTGTGGGAGGTTGAGGGAGGTGAGGTGAAGTGAGGCATACCGTCTCCATCGCGAAGCCAAGCTGGACAGAAGCGACTCCTCTTATTCGCAGACCGAACCTCCTCGCTGCCTTTCTCGCCGTTCGTCAGGTCGACATCTCGAAACTCGTACGTGAAGCCCTCGGGGCTGCGGTCGTATCTCCGCCTATCCATCATCTCCTCGCCCTCGTGGGGCATCGTGGTCGTCGTCGTAGTCGTCGTGTCCGCGTAGCCCTGCCGGTAGTCCCCCATGATTATAACGATATTCGTCACGCCCAGCCATGCACGTCCGAATCCAATCCTCGTAACTCGTAACACACAAGTCGAGATGTGTTATATGCCTCAAAGGTCTCTCTCCTCCCGTGAGGAGTAGGACTCTCCAAGCACGCACAGAGGGAGAGTAGAACAAAAGGTAACGAGAGTAGAAGAGAGGGCAGAAGAGAAGTGAAGTGAAGAGAGCCAAGGGAATGGGCTGAAGAGAAGAAGAGGAAGTGGTACAAACGCAGAGTCTCATTCCCACGCCGGGCGCGTCCTGGCCCCCATCTATACATATGCAACCGTCCATCCATCCACCCGTCTCTCTCTCTCTCTCTCAGTTACCACAGCTCGGGTTCGTGCTAGCCCGCCCCTGCAACAAGCAAGCAACAACCCCCGGCAGCCCAGCCGCATCCTTCGAGTCTAATCGCCCGCCCGTCCGCCTGGCCGCCCATCCATCCATCTGCAGCCCCCAAACATGAAGTTCCCGCACGGCACGACCCAACACGACCAACAGCCCTGCAACCAGCCGCCCTAACATCCCACCCCCGTACACCTGTGCACAGGCTGTTAAGACGCCGCTCACGCTTCGTGTTGGCTGCTCCTCGCAAGGCGAACGAAGGCTGGGAAAAGCGATGTCGCGCCGCTGAAACGTTCGGTTCGTGCCAGGGGTCTATGGATACACGCTTAAGCGCCCGCTTGTCGAGGGGCTTGGATTCGCGGAGGCCCGGGACGGTCATGCAGGTAAGCAGGGGAGTACCACGTCGTGGCCTGGATAGCCCTGGCGGGAACCGTGATGCCGATGCGGTGACCCGTGGGAAACGCTGCACAGGGCTGTAGCTCTCCGGTCTGCCCTCATCACCATCCTCATCCCCTACCTTTCATACACGGCATGTTTAACCCCAACATGCAGAGCAGCAAACAATCTCGGACTACCGCCAACACTCCATGAGAGTGCTCTCAGCGGCCGACGTTAACGCGTCGCAGTTCAAAGCAAGGGGGCAGGTCATGCAGGTGCAGTTGCGGTTGACGAATGGCAGGGACCCCCCGCGGGCCAGCGCGCTTGTTAGCGCCAGCGGCTATTCCGTCAATCCGCCGTGTTGTTACCCCTTCGGGTTCAAGCCACATCGGGCTTCGAACCTCGAACCTTGCTTGCTGCATCGCCCGCCACCCGCCCCAACCACCAACAACCACAGCCTCACTCACCACCCGACGTAGCATCGAGAAGGCGCCCATCAGCTTCTCATCACCAACACAGCGTCTCTTCGCGTCGTCTTGTGCAACAGAGTCACGCCACAACTGCTGTACCCGCGACGATCTCTTGTGTCAGGTATATGGTATATATCATCAATTCGCACGGCAAGGCACACACACACGATTCTTCTCGCAGATGAAATAGAGTGCCTCATGGGAGCTCGTGGTACTCATCCCTCTTGCACTTGTATTCTCAAGACGACATTGTTCGTACAGCGCAGCGACTGCAAAGAAAGAGGGATCGCTTCGGAGACAACTCTGAGCCACAGGGGGCAAGACAGCCCCGACCGTTGTCGTTTATTGGTACACTCAAAGGAAGAGTCTTTAAGACGAATACACTCCGCCACCGCCATATCTGCCCGCCAGACGCGGTCCACGGCCAGGCGACACGCGCGCAGGCGCAAAGCAAAACGAAAGAGTTAAAATCCACAAGTCCGGCCAGGAAGGCATATTATGCTGTTTGTCGCGCCGATATCATACCCTCCAGCTGCCTTTCGGCCGCAGCCGCCGCCCATATCGAGCGGCTCGGCCTCTCTGGCTGTCGCGACGCCCCCAACGCCATGTGTGCGAGTTATTGTACTAAGTTTGTAATGAGACTCTCTCTGGTCAACACAAGCCTTCGTGTGCAGAAAGGGAAAGTTCATGCCGTCGTGGTGCGTTTACACGGCTCGCTGCCGTTCCCGTCAGATCTCAATCGTCTTCATCGAGTCGTCCACCACCACGGGCTGCTTTCCGTTCGCCTTGCTGCTCAATGGTGCCTCGTTCTCCTTGTCCTTGTCCTTGAGCAGGTCCGACTCGGATCGCGCAATCGTCGAGATGCGCAGCGGGTTCTTGCTCTCTTCGCTACCCCGTGGCGTCTCCACCTCCACCAGTTGGCTGGGCTCGATTTCGGCGCTCGGTATCTCGGGAATCGTCGACTCCTCCGTCACCCTACTCAGAGGCGCCTTGCCCTTCATGGGCCGCATCGGACTGACCAGGGGCGACGACCCGCTGAGTCGCTGCATAGACCGTCCGCGGACGTCTCCGTTGGCTTCGACCGGGCTCGCGTACGGCGACGCGGACCGCGATCCGCGGGGCGAGTCGCCCTGGCCCTGGGGCCGTACCATCGAGGCACGCTTGGCGGCCCGCCGGCCGTACTTCTGGTCCATCCTCCATCGCAAGATGTTGAAGTAAGCAGGCTCGATGCGCGTCTCCTTAAACTCCCTGAGCTTGAGCTCGTTGGTGTCCTCGTCCACAAACCACTTTCCACTGTTGAGGTCGTCGGCGACGAGAGCGAGGAAGGCGCCCCAAGAGCGGGCCACCACGTACTTGGTGTCGAAGTCTCGGCCAAACAGGATGATCTGGCCCCAGCGGCCGCCCGGCCCAGGAGCCAGGTCGACTGCCAGGTTGTTGCCGCCCCAGTCGCGGACCAGCGGAATCCAGCCCGTGTGAGCGTATGCCTTCTGGACGGCGTTCGGAGGGACGCAGTCTTGGCGAGCCAGCAGGTTCTGCCGCCATTCGTCTGGGTTGCCGGCCGAGGAAGAGGACGAAGGCCGCTGCTTCGACGACGAGGCTTCGCTGCTGCCACCGAAAGCCTTGGATGGCGTCGTGGGCTTGGCACTGGCGCCGTCCAACAGGAACTGGTGGTTAACCTTTCTCCACGTCTCCCACTCCTGCACAATCTCTTCGCAGTCCATGAGCATGGAGCCAAAGATGATGCCGGTGGGGATTCCGCCGCGCTCCTGGCCATCGTGAATCATGAGCGAGTCGCGCACGTCCTGGGGCAGGGAGCAGTCCAGCTGGTGCTCCAGGTCGTTAAGGTCGTTGATGGTGGCGCCTTCGCCGAGCTGGTCCCACAGCTCCGTGTAGTTTTCCTCGGCCCACGCGTCTATCCTCTTCCACGAGTGTCTCACGGGTGGCGCCGGGGCGAGGCCGTCTTGGAAGGACTGCATCTGCACGTCGCCGGGGCTCTGGACCTCGAAACCGTCGGATTGTTGTGCCGACATGGATCGCATGCCGGGCGAGTAGGGGCCGTTGGACGAGCTTCTCGCGCCGTTGGCGTTTGCGGGCGAGGAGCGACCGGCATCGTCGAAGTAGGGGGAGCTGACGTCGGCGCGGGAGTCGGACGCGGTGGCTACGCCGGTGAGGATGCCGTTGCGGCCGTTGTGTAGCGGGACATGGCGTCCGGTTCTGTGAGGCGAATCGTAGGAAGAATCTGCATCGCCATCGTCAGCTTGCCTCCCTCGCAATCGGGCGCGGGAACTGCTGGGCTACTCACGTCTATCGTAACTGGTCATGGTGTGCCAGAAGGACCGCAGGGCGGCGCCGAAGCTGCGAGAGCATGGTCAGCGAAGCGATCGACACAGCGAGCCAAGGGCAATCGGCCCGTCAAGCACAAGGACAACGCACCCAGAGTTTGCCATGGTCGCTGTAGCGGCAGCGGCCGGGCCCAAGTTGGCGACAGACTGGTCGGGACGGGTTTGTCGAAGGCAGTGGCGTCACGGAAAGGGGCGTCGTCGTCGTCGTCGCGTTCAGAAAACTGCCACGGCAGGCAGGCAGGCCAGGCGTGCGACGCAGTAGCTGGCGGCGGAAGCAGGGGGCTTCGCTTATCGCAGGGGGGCGTGCGGAAAGGCGTCC